TTTAAAAATAGGAGTATTTTACTTTATACGGCTACCTAGTGAAATTACCAAATTTGTTTGTTTTTTTTTTTTAAGAAATTACCAAATTTGTTTCTGGGGTTTTGGATAGGTTTAATTCATATAGACAAGCCACGATATTCTTCGTAAGATTTTCCACGTTGAGCTTGATGCCATAACTAAAATATTTATGATCTTTTAGGTTAAAAGTCGTTATAATAAATAATCGTGAATCAAAGTCGCCATAAATACCCAATAGTTGATATATTATGGATTAGACATGTATTTTTTCCAGCATACCATGGAAAAATGTAGCGAAGAGTTTGTTAGAGAGAGTTGTCAAGAATAGTGGCCTATTTTTCTAATTAATGCTTTGGACCAAACATTTGATTTTGTGGAGAGAGATTAATTACATCACTAGATTTGTTAAAATTTCTTCCAGTTTTCAGTAAGTCTATATATTTTCATTTGATTTCTGTTTACCGAAACATAACATTACATCAAACTTACATTGTGTACGTTTTCTTCTCATACTAATATACGATACTTTTAACGAACAATTCGATTAATAATGTGTTAATTTAGTGTGTTATAATCGTTCACACCAAAGATGGGATATGGGTATAAAAAGAAATGAAAACTATTCATATGTAGCAAGGCTAAAATAATTTGATAAATGATACTCGATATAAAAATTATCAAAAAAAATACTGAAAATTAGTAGTACTATATAGAGTTTCAGGGAATATAAATTTAGAAAAACGTGTCTATTAACTCTATTTTATATTCCTAAATATAAAATAATATTCACAAAACATCCTTTATTTTATATTCGTGACCAAAAAAAAGAAAATATCATGCTTTAATCCTCGCGCATGCCTTTTTATCCATTTATGATTTAAAGCAAAATAAATCATGTAATGTATACTATTATAGTGTGATGATCTTTCTCGTAAAACGAATTATATGTTTAAATATTTGGATTAAAGACCAACTATATATAAAACAATAATTGCAGAAGAGTCATATACTTTTATACTACGCGGCTTTTACTTTTACAATGGAGGCACGCCTGTCACTTTCCAGATTACTATATGCGTTAAGTGAAGAGAATCAAACTAAGTGGAATTAAAAAATATATATACAAAACAACTTTGAGATACCTTCTCTAGTCTCATTTTCACACCGACCTAAAAATAAGTTCTATAAGATTTTTTTTAGAACAATATTACAAAGCCTTCTAGACATTCAATTTGATTCACTTTGAGTTAGTTTATGTTAGAGAAACGTTCATTAGATAATTAAGGTTTTGATAATAATATAATAGCTAGCCACTCTAAGAACATAAATATGTTCATTTAAGCTGAATTATATTGTAATAATGTGTTTGTTATTATTATTAGGCCATTTGAACAAAGCTAAATCACGATCCTTTAAAATGACCACAACATTAGTATTCTACTTGTGGATTCTCTAGAATTTTGTTCATAGTTAAATTTTGCTTATTTGACATCTAAATTATATGTATACTATTTGGATATCCTTATTGTGAATACCATTTTGTGGGAATACATAATATACGACATAATCGAAATCATTTTATTATATTTGTGAATTAAGATTGCCTCAATTGGTTAATAGCTTTGAAATTAAGAAAATATATGAATCTCCTTGTTAGAGTCGAGAAGTGGAAAAGGTTGTTAGAGTGAGTAATTGCTACAAGGAATTTTTAATATTTGCAGCATATATTCAAGATTACAATATGAATCGTCAATTACATAGAAAATGCCAAAATTAGCTAAAGAAAATTGATTTAGTCAAATCATGAATGATAAGCATGATATACATATTAATCATAGTTTTCAAAAATATAATATAAAATATTACCAACACATTATGAAAATGATTTTAGTTTTTTGGACGCAGCGACAGAGATAAACATAGCAGCAAAACGATTTACAACTTCGCGATTTCAAACATAGCAGAATCTACGAACTCCGCTATTCAATTGATTCTTCTAACTCTACACATGTGTAATTTGTCTGAACTATACGTTGTCGTATAGCTTAACTCCTGGATTTTCGATTAGTAATTGCACAACTTTTAAACTCTCAGAAAAAAAGCAATGTATTTGCAAACGATGGTCACTTCAAGGTTTTAATTTTGAGCTCCATAAAGGAAAAATCAAAATGAAGTGTTTGACGCATGAGACATATTTAATTACTTGAACAGGAAAAGAATTGGTCATCGTAACTTCTTAAATTTGGTTATAATATTATGTTTGAATAATGATTTTAAAGCTAGTATTGTTTATATGCTCTAACCCATGTAACATTCGAATATAGATGGTATATAGAGTTTTTTTCTTAATTCTTTTCTTGTTTTTGATTGTTTCAATCTTTTGTTGAATCGTATAAGTTGTATATACTAACATTGTGATTACCCCAAAAAAAAACTAACACTGTTAAAAACGTCGATTTTTAATTACCTGCATTCTAGTTTTCCAATCACGTGTAAAATAATTTTATTAGTTCTTAAAATTATAAATACAATTACACCAAGTAACACACGTATTGATATCAACAGATAAAGTTACATTCATAACATATTCAAATAATAATTTATTATTAAAGAAATAAATGCTAATACAAGCACATGATATATAACAATTTCGTAAGAGAACCAAGTAGTGGTAGTCTAGTGGTAAAATGGCTCACGAAAAGAGGTAAACCCTTTCAATTTGAGTTCGATTTTCCCTAAGAACATTTTTATTTCTATTTGGCTAGTTGAAATGGTGTTATGCTTTAGGTCCATTAGAAAACTCAATGAGTGGGATATTCGATGGCTACACTCATCCTGGAGAATTAGCCGGGTGGTAAAAATTTGGACACTCCCGGTTAT